TGGCAACCATTATAAGCTAAAATAAAAATATGTATCTAATGTTTGAGTAAAGGTAAAGAAATGTGCTAACCGTTTGTTACAAGTGAATTTTTCTATTACAAATTTTTGGGTTGATGTCATCCACATTTTTGCAAGGAAGCAGAGGTATATATGAGTTTGGATAGATGCATTGTAATACTAATAATAAAAGTATTGTATTATTGTTATTCTTGAATAGTGCTTTATATAATCAATAAAATAAGGAAACAATTTAATCACGTCTGCCGTATGTAATAAATAACAGCGGTGCCACTGAAGACTGAACTGAAAATCAATCATTGAGTATTTTAACATAAATAGCGATAACACTTAGCAAACTGCAGACGTGACAGTGAAACAGAAATTAAACTAAAAGATGTTTTCAAGGAATTATAATAACCGGATCACAATGCCGACGGTCCAGACATTTTTACTGCTCTGACTGCCGCTTATTGAATACAACACTACATTTTATTTTGATTTTTGATGTTGTAATTCACATTTGGTTAATTATAACTTGTTTAGATCTAGGGGAGGCTCAGAATTCCATACCCTCCCCCTAAATACGGCTTTGTCTAGGGGTTATGAAATATCGAGTAAATATGAAAGTACCAAATTGCCCAATGGACTCCATTACTGTACGTCCTTAGGTTATCTTCGATAAGAAAAACAACTTGAAAGTGTTTATGATTATACATCGGACGAATGTCACGTAGAAATTAGTTTGATTTGAATGAGTTCATCTCCTCAAAACAGAGGATCAAAACTATTAAGTGGTGAGCTACAATCGACAAAATGTTCTGAAAATCATTATTATAATTATTTTTAAATAAAGACGTTTGTATTTTCATATTGAGTGATATGTTCTTAATTTGATCAATAAAAAATATGAATGCAATGATGATGTAAAATCTCATCAAATTTTGCACATTTTGGGTAGAATTTATTTGGCAAAATTTTCACATAACGTCATCAATTTTTTTGGGGGAATAAATAGATTTATTTTGATTAACAATTTACCATGCTTACAATGACTTTAAAACGTCTGCAAAATTTCAAAGCGTTCAGTTTTGCAATTCTTGATTTATTCAATAAAATAAATTGATTGATTTATTAATTTTTTTGAGTCACTCGGTATAAACAAATCTAAAAAATATGAATGCAATGGTAAATTACAAGTATAGACCGATCATATTTTGCATATTTTAGATAACATTTATTCGGTAAAATTTTGAGATGACGTAAACAATTTTTTGGAGTTGTAAACAGATACATTTTGATTAAGAAGTTACCATGCTTACAATAACTTCAAAACCTCTGAAAGATTTCAAAGTATTCAGTTTTGCAATTCTTGGTTTAAACAATTAAATAAATTGACTCAGTCATTAATTTTAAGACACCCTGCATAAGCAAATGTAAAAAATATTAATACAGTGATAAATCACAAGTGTAGACTCATCATACAGGGTTTCTATAAATGATTATAGGGTCGCAGTAGGTCATGTAAACGTGTGGCCTCTCAGATTTAACTGTATGGAGATCCGTACTAAGTGCCCAAGGACGCATGACAACGCATGTTTGCAGTTATATATACACACACATGTGTATAACTGGTTGCCTAAACGTTTCATATGTTTTTAAAAAATAAAACTAATTCATTACGATAAAAAGAAACAAATTTATTGCGGTTGGACATCACAGTAAATGTTGAAAATGTTCATCATTCTGTTCAAGGTACATGTTCACTATCTTTTTAATTTCAAAAATGTTCTGTAACATCCTCTCGTCAATACTGTTGCCAATCTTGTTCAATTGTTCAATTCTGCTCAAGTCGTCCCACATCATCAACAATTTCCTCAGATGAAGTCTTCCACGAGATTTCTCTTTGTTGATACTGCCAGTTCGAACAAATCTGTTGATTACATCTCTAATGTGGCCCTTCAACGATGTTTCTTGAATTATTATTAAATCACGGTATCAACCAGAATTACTGTAATTCGCACTTAAAAACCATTAAAACAATAAAAACGACGGCTTCAAATGACATTAGACATTAATGTGACAAAATTTTGAAGTGACGTCAACAATTTTTTAGGGGGGATGAGCAAATACATTTTGATCAAAAATTTACCATGCTTATGATAACTTTAAAACATCTCCAAGATTTCAGAGCATTCGATTTTGTAGTCCCTGATTAAATTAATAAAATAAATTCAGGCATTCATTAAGTTTTTTGAGTCAGCTGTATAAGTAAATCCAAAAAATATGAATGAAATAATAAATCACGAGTACAGACTCATCATATTTTCTACATTTTAGATAGGATTTATTGGGCAAAATTTTTGCTGACGTCATCATGACTATCATAACCTTAAATCATCTGCAAGATTTCAAAGCATTCAGTTTTGCAGATTCAAAATTAAATTGTAAAATGTTGTTTTATAATTTTGATTTTTTTTTCCAAAAATCTGGACGTTTTGGGTAAAAACTCAACACGGAGGCATTAACCACATGTGTAGGACTATGTTATTTTATACAGTTTAAAACTCATTTACTATGTACAATTTTGAAGTGAAGTGACATCATCGCATTATTGATAGGGATGATTAGACCAGTTTTGGTTAGCGTTTTACCATCTACACGATTCCTAATGTAAATACAAAATTTGACAACAGTAGACCCAGTAATTTGGGGTTTTTTTTGTGTCTAATAAAAATCATAACGGCAGACATGCAGACAGACGGACAGACAGATGGACAGACAGACGGACAGACAGACGAACAGACAGACAGATGGATAGACAGACAGACGGAAAAGGGAGACCTATTTCTTCGCACTCTAGGGATCATGAAACTTCAACAAAATGTAAAAGTAGAGAGTCGGCCGATGGACTCGATTACAATACTTCCTTCGCTTACGCACGGGAAGTAAAAATTGGTCCAAGCTTCGATGGAACTTCCCTCGCCTGATGAAAGATGTCCAGCATTTTCCAATAATTTTTTTTTAGATTTGCTTATACAGGTCTGGTGGCTCAAAAAATTAGTGAATATGTCAATTTATTTTATTGATTAAATCAAGAACGGCCCAATCCATTTTCCAGAAAATTTGGAAATACAATACTGGTATTACACTGCATTTATTTAAAATGGATACACGTGTCCTTGCAAAAATGTTGCTGACGTCATCACAAAATTTTGTAACGGTAAAACTGATTTGAAACATACACGTAGCACGCTTTTTTACATTTACTTTAACATTATATATCATATCTTTATTTTAGTTTATAGAGGTTCTCATAAAAAAATAAAATTCGAAAATCAAACGTTATAACTTTCCCAAAATATATGTTTCATTGTATTTCAGGAGCAAGGAAAGTCCTGTCGAAAGAACTTTCGAACAATTTTTTTTAAATTCGTCACTTGCAGGGTTAAAAATATTTGTGCACTGATAAACCAGAAGTTGATAATATTTTGCAGCAAAATTCTATCAAAATTTTGGAAAGTATAAACGGACAAATTTTGATTATCTAATTAGGAGTACCATATCTACAACCTTAAACCGTTTAGTTTCGATTTTATATATTCTGAGATAAATTTGCATTTTTTTTATATAATTGTAATTTTTGTAGCTTTCTAAAACAAAATTTGAAAACAGATTAAGAAACAAACAAAATTATAGAAGTAACCCGGAAAACGATCATGTAAAGTATAGAAACGTAAGTTATTAAAGTTAACTAAAGCAACTGCTTATTAATTAATGTTTTAAGATGGCGTCATCAAATTGTTGGTGGGGACGAACAAACAATTGTATATCATACTCAAATTTCCACACCAGTCAGTTCAATATACCAGTTTCGGAGATTACACATTTAATAAATCAGCAACGAACAGAGAACACATAAACCAAAATTTGACATTTTTGTATTGCACAAGTGTGGAGAAAACATCATATTAGCCATTCGTCAAATATTACAATACTTCGTAAACTTTAGACAAGAGCAGTAAAAATTATGAAAAGTTGAATAACTTCTGACCTTTTGGAGAATTTATAGGATAATTTTCAATAAAGTAGTTTAGTACTTACTGAAAAATATGTGTTATGCTTTGAGCTTCTAACGGTTTTTAAATTTTAAATTTAAATATTTTGAGTTACTTATGTTGGATGGCGAAATTTCAAAAAAAAAAAAATTTTGGTTCGTCGTATGTAAATTGTCATATTAGATAGATCACAATAAAAATTATAAAGGCATGCGTTTTATTTCACTCGGGCATGGATTTCTCTTTTTTCTGTACGTCTACAAGCAATAAAATTTATGATATCTTTGACAATTAATATTTTGAAATCAAGTAAGTAAGTATCTTCGATTATTTATTGTTATATCAACAGTTACTTTCCACAATAGTTTTATTATTCATTGTTGAAATAGTGGTCTTGGCAACAGAGAATCGGAACCTTTCCCTCAATATTTGAGTACCATTTGAAATAAATGATGCATTACTTTTGACCTACGAACAGTATGTTGACTAAAATCAAATCAGGAATCTGTGGTATGTAATCATACACCACATTAGTAAGTAAATAACAATTTCTCAAAGCAAACATTTACTAACATAATATCATACATCGCCAACACGTCTGTTATTACGTATTCAGCAGAATAAAACAAGAAAAGTGAAAAACAACTGAAAGAAAATACTTCGTCGAATAGCAAAAATTTGCTGAAATTTTCACGAGCCCAGAATTTGAATTAATAGACTTAAAAATTCGTCATTAAAAACTAATCGAAATTGTGTAATCCTACCCCGAGAATTAATAGTCATAATATCGCTCAGTTAACTTCGTTGAAGTCGTTACGCGTCATCGTGAAACACAATATACGGCGCAAATAAATGATCCTTAGGGAATAAATTCGTAATGTTTAAATAATATTGTTCAGTGTGGCGGATTAGTGTTAAATTGGTTATCGATTTTCCTTGTTTCAGGGTGATTTGGTGCAAATGAAGCCAGTACCTTCTGTAGGGGGCGCTGTCGAGTTGAAGGCTAAAACTGTAGAACTCTTGGTGCTACTTCACGGCTTAAGACACGAGAACTTAAATCCTCTGATCGGATGTTTGGCAGAGCCGCCAAGAGCCGCCCTCGTAAGCGAATACTGCGCCAGGGGCTCTTTACAGGATGTGCTTCAGCAGGATGACATCAAGCTCGACTGGTCCTTCCGCTTGAGTCTGCTTACCGATTTAGTTCGGGTGAGTGCAGCATGTAAACACACAGCACGTGTTGACAGGTTCGATGGCAAATATCGCAGGATCAGTTACCTTGTGTTTATAATCGATGTCGTAGCGGTGTTGGATTATGTTCGCTACGCAGGGTAAAGTGTTTCGGAAACAAAGTTTACTAAACCTCACAGTAGGTTAATCTGGCAAAATTTGGCGAAAATTACAGCAACGACACAATTAATTATGGTGGAATCCTTGTACAAAAATATATTATTTGTCAACACAAGAGATTTATTATAAAAAATTTATTAAAATTAGGATCAGATTTTTTTTTAAATCAGGATACATTTTACAGCTGGTTTAAAAAAAAAAAAACGGGACAAATGAACTGTCTTTCCCATTGCTTTTCATTGATCTATGAGAACCTGATTTGCTCATCTTGTCCCGTTTTTTGTGAAACCAGCTGTATATATTTGAATTTTTTAAACGATATTGGCAAAGTTATAAAGGAAACGATTATGCATATTTTAAAAGACTCTAAAACGATTTACATTTTTGATTGATTAAATGACATGGACACGAAAACATTATTTAAATATTTATCAAATAATTTTCTTGAGATGATGTTCAGAATTATAATTGCGATATTAGGTATTATTTTTCATACAGGGTCGCTAAAAGGTATGGAAGCAGTTGAATATCGCGAGAACGGTTTGTTGAATATTTTTGAAATTTGGACTGTCTCTAGGAATACACTCAAATTCTAATTTCTGCAATTTTTTAAAATTGTATACTTCATATGTTTTTGAGATGCAGGGATAACTTGATTTTTTTAAATAGCACTAGTAGTCAAATGTCCTGTTTTTAAATAGTGCATTTTTTTATTTTTTGCGATATGGTAAAATAAATTATTTAAATAAAAATACTGAAAATCAGAAAATCGTAGCTAGGCGTCCTGGCGTAGGACGCTTTATTAAAAATTTGTACTAGTGCCCACTTATTGTAAAAATGATAGAACTGAGTGTACATAAACTGAAATAAAGGTTCCACCCTTACAGACTGATTTAAATGATGTTTCCAAATAATTTACATTACATTGTTGAAAAAAGAGATCAAAATAACATTTAAAAAATAATAACTTTAAAACACATGTTCGAAATATTCTCTATTTACTTCCTGGCAATAGTAAATACGTTGCACAAAGTTTTCAAATGAATCTGTTTGAATATTAGGAGGAATATCAGTAATCACATTTAATATTCTTTCTTGAAGTTCTTCGATGCTTTGTGGTCTAATAACATAAACTCGATTTTTTACATAACTCCATAGAAAAAAGTCAAGTGGGGTTAAATCGGGTGACATAGCTGGCCACTCAACTGCTCCCCTTCGTCCTATCTATCATCCATCCAGGAAAAGTTTCATTCAAGTAATACCGCAGTTGACTTACAAAGTGAGGTGGTGCTCCTTGTTTGAATCAGAGGGACTCTGTAGGTAAATTTGGGTTTTCATAATTGGAAAATATTTGTCTAAGTTGAGGAACAATACTTTGTAGCAAAAGTTTGAGGTATTTGTCAGACGTTAAATTTCCGTTAATGAAGAAGGGGCTCTACAATATGGTGACCAAAAATGCCGCACCAAACATTTTTCATTTAATTTTTGGGCAGTACTATGTATGAAAGTCCTTCATCTAATGTGTATTGGACCAATATCTACAGTTATGGGGATTAGCATGTCCATTCAAACAAAAAGCAGACTCATCAGAAAATAACAATTGGTTTATGAAGTTGCCATCCAAAATTCGATTCTGCGGTCAAAGTCATTTTCACTCAATTGTTGTAGTAAATAAATTTTGTGTGAATGATATTTTTCCCGTTTGAGTATATTTTGAACTGAGCCTCCACTTATATTATGGTTTAATGCCAATTGTTGTACCGAAGTTTTTCGATTTTCAGTTATATCTAACGTGATATTAAAAGAGTTCTCGTCATTTGTAACATTTTTTGGTGTTATAATATAATAATACATATAATATTGTTACGAAATAAACCCATACGCCACTCCGGTACGACGCCTATGGACCGTCGCGAACTTTCTAAGCCGGACAGGTGACGCATCGTTGGTGACGCGGCCCAGCGACGTTCGAAAAGCCTGGAAGCGGAAGTCGCGATTACCCAAATCGAGAAAGACCTGGATCGCCGAAGTATGGGAGTAGTATATAAGCAGGGCTGACGTCAATGGTCTCGTGACGCACTGAACGCCAGCCGCGCTGCTGGTTGCGCACCACCACCGTTCGAATCTCGGTTGGGTTATTTGAGGGTAGATGTCGCTTCGGAGTGGGTTTTTAGAATTCTAGTTGTAAATGCGTACTTTGACAGCAGATGGCGCTTTAGGGATTTTGAATTTTGGTTTTAAAATTCTAGTTGTGAATGCGTGCTTTGAAAGCAGATGGCGCTTTAGGAATTTTGAATTTTGGTAATTCGGTTTAGGTATTACAATATAAATTTTGAAAAAAGATGAAACACTGTGCCAGGTGCAGGATTTGGAACCTGCGCTCTGTTTCCGAACCAGAATTTAAGTCTGGCGCTATAGACCACTGGGCCACAGTAATTTTATTTGTGAATAAAACCACATTCTGATGTAATTTTAACAAATTTGAAGTTTAAACTATTAAATAAGAACATGTCTTGTAATAGTCGGTGTGTGCGGTTTGTTGATGCTCCTGCGACAATTCATTTAATGGTGAGATGGTCCTCTGCATATAAACAAGCAAGATGTGGTCAAATTTGGCTACAGTACGCTAGGGACACAGATAGGTTTCAAAGAAGAATAAAACAAGTAGAGAAAATTTTGGATCCTATATTACAAAGGGAATACAGAGAAAATATATACCAGGATAGATTTAAAAATTTCCGAATCCGATTTCGAAAACGTAGACGGCGTCGAGTTAGGCGTCGTAGGCGTCGTAACCGTCATCGAATCAATCGTAATCGTTATAGATGTGCTTCTTGTAATTTGTGAATAATAAAACTTAAATTAAATATATATGAATTTATTAATAAATGTTTTATTTTATTTATATATAAATGTTTTTATTTATTTATTTATTTATTTATTTTTTTATTTTTTTTTTTTGGTGACGTCACGCCAAGCAAGGGTATGGGAGGAGGAGTTTTGTTGTTGTTGTGTGAGTTCGATACCCCCCGCTCCCATACCCTATTTGTTGGCGTGACGTCTTTTAAAAAATTAATAATTATATATTGATAAAAATTATTAGTAACCTTGTCCTCTTCCATCTAGTCCTCCTCCCCCCGTCTTTTCTTCTTGTGTCCTCTTCCATCCAGTCTTCTTCTTTCGTCTTGTCCTCTTGTGTCCTCTTCCATCCAGTCTTCTTCCTCCGTCTTGTCCTCTTCTCCTTCTTGATCCCGGTTCTGGTCATCCTCCATTCATCACGTCCTCAATAATAATCGTTGCTTCAGTTAGTTCATCTTCATGCATTACATCAGTTGTTACATCAGAAATTTCCCATTCCTCCAGTCTATTGGACATCAACTTGCTCGGTAATATTTATTTTCACTTAAGGTGAATTTTCCTTAAAAGAATTTGAATTAACTTTAAGATAATAATTTAGAAACTTACTTGTTGCTCGTCATGGTGTTTTTCCGTACTGATTTCCATTTCGTCATTTGATATAGAGGTAAACTTTCTGTGCTAATTTCCATTTCAGTATGTGTTTTTGTAACAAAGTTTTTCTATAAAAATGGAAAAGATATAAAATTTAATAAATTTAAAAATAATTAAAACTTACTTGTTCTTCAGGATTGAATTTAAAATTGATTTTACTTTTGTATTTTGCTGCACATCAGAAATTTCGATTTCCATTTCGTCATTTGATATAGGTAAACTTTCCATACGCAATCGTATTTGAAATGTGTGTTAGCTCCGTTTTTTCCATGCTGATGTCTAATACAAAAAATTTCTAAAAAAAAAAAAATATTTAAAATCGGATCCTCGTCAGTCATCGCGCCAGTCAATCCATCAATTCAAATAAATTAAAGTTTAATATAAAACTTACTTGTTCTTCAGGATTCAATTTATGGTGATACAACATTTGTATTTTAACGGATCAATCACAATCGCAGGTACGCACTTCTATTTTGAGTATATCGTAACGAATAATTTAGAAACTTACTCGCTGCTCGTCATCTTTTTATTCTGTCTTGATTTCTAATTCATTAAGATGAAGAAAAATTTTTCTAAAAAGAAAATAAGAAAAAAAAAGCAAATTGAATAAATTCAAGTTTAATGTAAAACTTACTTGTTCTTCAGGATTGAATTTACGGTAATTGAACATTTGTATTTTAACGGATCAATCACAATCGCAGGTATGCACTTCTTTTTTTGAGTATTCTGTAACGAATAATCTTCGCGCGTGTACAAGACTGTGCAACAGAGGTTTTCACGATTGCTTATATAGCTTTATTTTATAAAAAACAAACAAAAAACCACAAAAAAATAATATAAATGAATCATTTGTTTCGCGGCAGCAACTATTATCGCAAATATATGATTTGTTTCACCTCAACAAATAAGATATCAAACATGTTTTTCTTTGCATTTGGAAAAATAAGAAACCGCAAAAGATAATAAATGCGTTGCTGGTATTTTTTTTTCGGTGCAAAGCTGTTGCAATGTTTTTTCGGAATTACTCAGACCCATCAATATTCTTTAAAAAATTATAGTGATTGATTTTTTTTTCATTTTAATACATAATTAAGCATGCATATTGCGTGAACGTTCATTATTCACCAACTGTGGTTAGCTCTTTTCCGTTTGATTTAATTAAGGTTTGGTATTTTTACACTGGTAGTTAGTCAAGTTTTCAGTAAGTTGCACTCTTGAAATCTAATTTTTACACATGAATTGATATTTATAGGTATGGACCCTTGTTTATTTTATTTATAAAAATATATAAAATGTAAAGGAGGCGTGGCGTTTATCATCTAAGGAAGATACGGAACATCATTCTAAGT